AATATTTGGAGTTCAGGGGGAGGTTTGAGTCAAAAATATACTTTAGATTATAATGCTCGAATAGATTCTGATAATGCCTCTTATTTGCGTAGGCCCGAATTAGATTTACTGTCCACAACTCCTGAGTCAGCTAGAAGGTGGTTGGCAAGAGACTGTGGGGCACAAAGCATAAATGATTTTGGGAGTATTGTTATGTTTAGAAAAAATTACCCAGGAACGCGTCCATATTTTCAGGACATGTTTTATGACGCAACATGCATTATGGCTAGAACGCGAAAGTCTGAAAATGCCTCTTTTATGTTTACGTTCACAAGTAATCCTCACTGGCCTGAAATTAAAAGAAATTTATTTCATAAAAAACAAAAAATAGTGGATAGGTTTGATATAATTTGTAGAATTTACGAAGATAAATTAAGACATCTTCATTATTTATTAAACAAAAAACATATTTTTGGTAAAATCTTAGGTTATGGGGAAAGTAGGGAGTTTCAGAAACGGATTGGAGGACCCCATTTACATCGAGTTTTTTGTACTGATATTCCTGCAACTCCTATAAATATTGAAAATTTAATATGGGCACATATTCCTGAAGAACCTCCGACTGCAGATAAATCTGCTTGGGCTAATTTTATAAGAAAGGTTCGTGAACTTATTGAACATCACCAGTTGCATGATTGTGGAGACCATTGTAAGAAAGCAAATGGTAAATGTAAGAAAGGTTTCCCGAAACCGTTTAGTAACATTACCGTTTTACACGAAAATAAGCCGGCAGAGTATAAGCGGCCTAGCCCGGAAAATGGTGGGGAGGTTTTAAAAATAAAAAGGGGAAAGCACACAATTATTTATGATAACTCTAGAGTAGTCCCCTATAATCCGCTTATTCTTGTAATGTTTGAATGTCACCATAACTTAGAATTCGCGTACGGACAAACTGATAATTTAAAATATGCCTTAAAATATCCATTTAAGGGTTCGAGTTTTTCCTATGTACGTAGTGAAACAACCGGTCTTATACACGTAGACGAACCTTTACAATACGCAAGAATGATTTATAGGAGTCCGACAGAAGCGTATTCTAGAATATTATCGTATAAATATGCATTTTTGTCCCATGTCGTTTTAGCTTTAACAATTCATTTACCTGAAAATCAGAGAGTTTGCTTTACTCGCCAAACAGCTAATCAAACACTTGGGAATATTGATTCTGGAGATTTACCAGAAACTCCTCTTACATCATATTGGAATTTATGTAATAAAGACCCTACATTTAGTATCCTTTTTGAAAATATGCCAGAGACTTATGCATTTAATAAAAATACAAGAGCTTGGAAAAAACTGAAAATTGATCCAAAAAATAAAAATAGGAAACCGCGTATTGGCAGGATTTATACAGTGTCGCCACGTGAGCCAGAAAAATTTGCACTTTATCTTCTTACTAAGCATTTCGCAGGCTCTTATGAAACTTTATTAAATGTTAACGGTTATGTTTGTGACACATTTGTCGAAGCAGGGCGATTAAGGGGTTTGTTAGAAGACAATGAAGTGTGGGAACGGACTTTAAGAGAAGGATCTACTTATCTTAATCCTTCGCAAATGCGTTTATTATTTGCTAATATACTTGTATTCGGAGGTACTGAAAAATGTGTAATAGATGGTTTGTACTTGTGGAATATGTTTATTGATCATTTTTATGACAGAAGATGTACGGAAGCTGAAAGACCACTTCGTATCGATAGGGCTTTAGCACTTATTGAAAAGCTTTTGCTGAGTCAGGGTCGAAATATGGGTGAATTTAATCTTCCTTCACCGGATAATCCTCTTATAAACAACCCAGATAGGGCTTTAGACGCTTTTTTCTTTCCACATAACTTAAATGATGATGAAATGGATGAAACTATTGATGTTTCTGTTTTTGATAGAGCCCAATTAAATCAAGCCCAACAAAATTTTTTCAATTTAATTAGGGCATCAGTTTTAGATCCTTCTGTGAATAATAAATTGTTTTATATTTCCGGTGATGGTGGTACGGGAAAAACTTTTCTTCTTAATTATGTTATTTATAAGTTAAGAGAACTTAGGCAAAAAGTATTAGCTACAGCTTCTACTGGTATAGCTGCCACAAATTTTTATTCTGGAGGTATGACTTTCCATTCAGCTTTTCGATTTGGAAAAGACGTTGAACCTGGTGTCCTTCCCTCTATTCCGTTAGAAAGTTATTTTGGCCGTAGAATTATTGAAGCAAATGTGATAGTTATTGACGAAATTACTATGCTTAATAAGACTGTTTTTGAAAATGTTGATATTTTGTGCCGTACTTTAATTCCCCAATTTAAAGATACACCTTTTGCTGGAAAGACAGTAATTATTTCTGGTGACTGGAAACAGTCTTTGCCTGTGGTTAGAGAATCCTCGGCTCCTGGAGCACAAGTTGCTGCCTCAATTCAGTCTTCTGATTTATATAAAATGTTTGAAAAACATAGACTAATGCAAAATATGAGAGTAATTCCGGCGGAAATACAGTTTAAAGATTGGCTATATAGTATAGGAACAGGTCAGGTGGGCGATTCTGTAATGCTTCCCTTAGCTATGCGAGTTAATTCTAGACAAGAAATGTATAACTTTGTATTTAACACAGGCTTTGATGCACCAGTTCATGAACTTTTAAAACGTTTAATTCTTTCTCCGACAAATAGGATTGTAGATTTAATTAACGATGAAATTATAGACGTAATAGATTCACCAGTTCATATATATTTATCGCGAGATAATCCAACAAGCGAAAACCCGTTTGCGTATAACTTGGCTGATTATGACGTAGTTCAATTAAATAGACTTACGCCAATAGGAATGCCCGCCCATAATATAAAGCTTAAGGTGGGAGCAATAATAGTATTATTACAAAATTTAAATACTCAAAAAGGTTTATGTAACGGTACCAGAATGATAGTTAGGCGTTTACACCAAGATTTGATAGAAGCAGAAACTGTTAGTGGTTCCTCGGATCGCGGTATTAGAATTGGAATATGTCGTGTAAGAAATAGTTATAAAGATCTCAGACCTGATCAAGTTAGTTTCGAGCGATTTCAATTCCCTGTAAGAGTAGCGTTTTGCATGACTATAACTAAGGCCCAAGGGCAGACATGTGAACGTTTAGGTATTGATATTAGCGATGAACCTTTTGCGCATGGGCAAACTTATACCGCGTTTTCAAGGTGCAGAAGTGGGGAAAATATCAGAGTTTTCGCACCTGGGAAAATACCCGATAATAATGGGAATATTTTTATGAGAAATGTAGTAGCTAGAGGAATCCGTTTTGATTAGATTTTTTATATAGTAGAAAGAAGAAATGAAATTAAAATTTTTGTTAAATTCTCTTAGGGGTAAACTTTAAAATTTACAAAAGAAATAATAAAAGGCCAAAAGAGTGAGACCACTTCAACACTCTTTAAAAAGAACGAGACCACTTCAACGTTCTATAAAAATAAAAAAGGCCAGGCCAAATAGAGTGAGACCACTTCAACACTCTATAAAAAAGAACGAGACCACTTCAACGTTCTAAAAAAATAAAAAAGGCCTAAAGATATAAAAAATATACAAAGGCCAAAAGAGTGAGACCACTTCAACACTCTTTAAAAAAGAACGAGACCACTTCAACGTTCTAAAAAATAAAAAAGGCCAAAAGATATAAAAAATATACAAAGGCCAAAAGAGTGAGACCACTTCAACACTCTTTAAAAAAGAACGAGACCACTTCGATGATGTAATAAATAAAAAAAGGCCAAAAGATATAACAAATAAAAAAAGGCCAAAAGAGTGAGACCACTTCAACACTCTTTAAAAAGAACGAGACCACTTCAACGTTCTAAAAAATAAAAGGCCAAAAGATATAAAAAATAAAAAGGCCAAAAGATAAAAAATAAAAAAAGGCCAAAAGAGTGAGACCACTTCAACACTCTTTAAAAAGAACGAGACCACTTCAACGTTCTAAAAATAAAAGGCCATAATAAAAAAAATAAAAAATGGCCAATAGAGTGAGACCACTTCAATAATCTATAAGTAAGAATTCCGACCCCAACGGGGCGGGGTACAGGGTTTATCCGTTTGCCCCCATGCACCTCCACGTGGTGTACCCTGGGCATTGTTATATATATTTAAAACTTTTCATAGTTGTAATTATTTGTTTTTTTCGTTTGTTATGAGTTAGTGTACTAATTATATAACAACGGCTAAGCATGGTTAAAAACGGATTGTATCTTATAGTACACTGTTATTACTTAGTTTTCCTTATTTTTAGTCGTTCTACCTTCTTTTTATATTTACTTTTTTGTAGTAAGTAGTCGAGTAGTAAGTAGTCGAGTAGTTTTGTAGTAAGTAGTCGAGTATTTACTTTTTTGTAGTAAGTAGTCGAGTTTCCTATATTAATAGTTTTTTATTTTAGTTCGTGCTTAATTGTGTTTGTTTTTTATACTTTTACCTTAAAATCTTAAATTACAAATTTTTTTCTTTTTCAGATAACAAAAAATTTACTTTTCAACCAAACTATAATAATATTTATTTTACTTTCAATTTCAATTCAACAAAAATAACAACAATTTACAGACCAAATTTTCTTTGGTAATATTTTGTTTCATACCTCCCACCCTCCAATGTTTCTCACAACTTTTTCATTCTTTAGTCTGTTATCGGTAATAAAACTCATGAGATGTGTCAAATGATACCAAAATCAATCCCCGGTCTTAACTTTGGTCTGAGATACAGATCCCTGAAATTTGAAAAATAATATGGCGGAAAATTGACACAAATACCAGATTAAAAATTACACGAAAACAATACAATTTTGTCGCGAGACGCTTGTGCAAAACTGGGTCTTTTTCGGACGATTGTTGGCTGTATCTTAGCCCAGAATTAAGACCGAGAATTGATTTTGGTTCCATTAGTCACAACTCCAGAGTTTAATAACCTGTGCCTATCTAAATTAAGAAAGTGGTCAGAATAAAATAATGTGTGTGGGGGGTACGAAACATACTATTACTCAATCATTTTTAGAAAAAATGTCTTCTTCATCTTCTTCTAATTATTTATCAACTCAAAACAACTCTGACATCTCTTCAACATTTTCACTCAGATCAAATTTATCAAGGAATGTGGCTTCTTTGGAGGGCGGTAAGCAGTTTTAAAAATAAAGATTTAAAAAAAAACAAACACAATTTTATTTAATGTTGAAAAAGTTTGATTACATTTAGTGAATTTTTTAATATCAAAAAGCATTACTTTTTTTATCCGCTGCTTTAAAAACTTTCATGAAAATGCCTTATGTAAAACTTTTTCAGCGACGCATGCGAAAATTTTTGCTTTTATACGCTATATACCTTATAAAAAACCGCTTGTAACAGTTAGAATTTTTATTAAGCCATTTAACTTTATCTGATTTATCGATGTTCAGCCACTCCTTTTTTCGGACTCCAAAAACGTCGACTTATAAATTTGTTTCATTTTTAAATTTAAAATTTTAGACATTATTCGCCAGTGGGTTGATAATATGAGTGGAAGTAGTGGAATTGTTGGCCGTGGAGGCCGTGGCTTTGGTGGACGTGGAGGTCGTGGCTTTGGTGGGCGTGGAGGGCGAGGTGTTGGTGGCCGTGGAGGTCGTGGCAATGGAGGAAATGGAGGAGGAGGCCGAGGAAGAGAAAGAGGTGGCCGAATAAATGGCCGTAATAATACAAATTTTGGAAGGCCGGGCCGCGGCGTTGGGGCCAACTCGGGGGCGGTTCGTTGGCTTCTTGCCAACGGGCTTGCTACTCGGGGGCCACCTCAACGTCGTGGTGCCGAACGGTCGAACCGTGGGTTTAACTCCCGCGGTGGAAGTTCCGGCGGGCAATCTAACGGTCGTAGGTCCTTCGGGAACTCCCGTGGGATTGCACGTGGCGGGAACTCCCGCGGGAGTGGCCCACGGGGACACCAGCCTCATAACCACACTATTGGACATCGTCCAACTGGGGGACACTCCGTAAACGTGTACCCCACTTATAATGTTTATACTTACAATTAATTAACTTTTTTAAAGTTTATGCTTAAAAGGTTAATTAATTGAGATATAAACATTATAAGTGGGGTACGCGTTTACGGAGTGTCCTCCTCAGTGGTGTGCAGTTGCAATTTTCGTCTTTCGCCTTTCGCTTTTTAAAATCTTTTTGGCACTTCTTACTTTTTTCGTCTTTCGCTTTTTAAAATCTGTTTCAGCACACCACTGCCCATCATTCAATATTTATTTAAAATATTTTGATTTAAATTTTATTTAATTTATTTTTTGATATTATTTTGGTTATTTTTTGTTTGATTTTTTTGCCAATTTGTTGTTTAATTTTTATTTTTTGAATTTATTTGTTGGTAAAAGTTTTTTGAAAAATTTGTTTTATATAGTTTTGCTATATCCATATTCAAAAAGTATTTACAGCACATCATAATTAGTTGAAACAAATAATTTTGCCGTGTTTATTTCTTTCACTTCTTCCAGACGGTATTTTAGTTGAAGTACGAAATGGTTGATCATTTCTTCCTTACATAATTTAAATGTATTATATATTAAATGTGACAACAACCTTCTAGCCGCGCGCGAAGCGCGCCCCAAAGCCGATAGGCTTTCCAACGGGCACCCCAAAATTTTACCGCCAAAGTATGCTATTCGCGCCATCGCATACGTAACCCACAGCTAGTTATATTATACTAAAAAAAACCACAAAGTGCCCCTTCTTTTGTGGGTAAAATTGGGCTTTTTTCGTTTAAAAACTAATTTGAGTCGAACGAGTTCCGGGGGATTTTTTTGAGTTGTACATTAGTCCTACAACTTTTTGACGCGCATTCAGGAAAATTATAGCCGTGGCGCCAAAACGTACCTCTGCGCCGAAACGGCCGTCGGTAAAATTCAAACGGCTGTAACTCGGAGAGGTGAAGTCGGATCAAAAAGTGATTGGGGTGAGGGCCCTAAGTTGGGATAGGGTCTATAACGCTGAAAAAAAATTGGAGGCCTGGGAACAACTGTCCGACCTGTGGAGGTTGGCAAAAATTCACCGATTGTCGGTGAATTGTCCTACCTCGTCCGACGAAATTGATCGACAATTTACAAATTATATACCAATCGAAAGCTCTCATCGAGCTGAGTCCGAAAAAATTTATTTTAATTTTTTCTGACCATTTTGAAAAAAGTTACACTTCGCCAAAGGTTCAAAATGTCTTGGACCCCTATCGGGAAGGGTGGCTCCCATTGGATGTAATTATAAAAATGCTTATGAGAGGCCGAATCGCTCCAACTCTTTTTTAGTATGTTAGGGCACTTAGTTGGCTAAAATTTTGTTGGGGGCCACTTGAGTCTCGGATTTGGTTCTGGGGGTCATGAGGTTCAAAAGGTCCGGGTCGAAAAGTCGACTTTTTAATGCGTGAATTGAAAGTCGATTTGAGTTTCCTATGTTGTAGAGCGTCCTTTGAAACCTCTAAAAATATATACTTTGTTGGGGGTACACTTGAGTCTGGAAACGTTATAGGGCAAAAAGTGACATTTTGGGGGTCAAAAATTGACCTTTATTGGGCTATAACTTTTTTTAAAATTTTTTTAAAAATAAAAGGGCTTCGGGAATGGATTCAGCACCTATCAGAGCACAATATAGCATATTTATCTCGAAGTCGAATTTTTCGACTCAGGTTCGACTTTTTGGGGGTCACACCCGGTGGGGTACCTGATTGAAAGTCTGAATGAAAACTTAATCCGGTGATGTTGTAGAGCATCTAAAACTACACTGAAATGTAAAATTTGGGCATGGTCCACTTGAGTCTCAAAAAGTTATGGCCAATGTACGCAAATGTCGTAAAACTTTTTGAGACTCTAACGTCCCTGCGAATTTTTTAAATTATTTTCGGAGGACGGTTATAGGCTCAGCGGGTCTTAATGTACTATATAAGCTTTATTTTATGTCGAAATTGAACTTTTATGTTTTCTGACACTATTTCCTTCAGGTTTTGACCTAAGACACGTTTTTTCGAAAATTTTTGCTGATTTTCAAATTTTTTATTGCAAGTGTTATATTTTTTTTAAAGCGCTCGGCCAGCCGCATCGAATAGGCTGTATTTTAATAGTTAGCATCATAATTTTAAAAATTACATTTTTTGGCGTTTTGTTATTTTTCCAAATTTTTTCTTTTTTTTTACGGTTTTATTTTTTCAATTTTTTCTTTCGTTTATGTTTAATTTTAATTATTTAAATATCTTTTATTATTCTTTGTTTGTTTTTAGTGTAGTTGTTTTGTTTTAGCCCGCTATGAGGGTTTATAATGAAAATTTGCCGTTATTGGGATCGGAAATTGCAATTATTTTCCGTTATGAGATGGAAAATGTGAGTATTTAACCAAAAAATTTTTTGATTTTTTTAACCAATTTTTTGTCTACTTTTCTTTTCTTTAGTGCCCGTCAACCTTTTAGAAGGCCAAGAAGCCAGATTTCTTCCTTTTTCAGTTTGTTTTTTAGTTTTTATTCTTTGCGCATAATTTAAGTTTTTCTTTTTTCAGGGGTCGGTAAACTTCATCTAAGACTTAATATTGCCGTGAGACCAATAGCAATCAAGTACTGTCAAGGAAAGTTGTAAAGCACTTTGAAGAGAGAGTTTAAGAGGGCGTGAAACCGGTGAGGTGGAAACGGATAGAGGTGGCGTTTTGCTGCCTTTTTTGGAGTGGCAGGTTTATTTGAATTTAAATGTTTTATTAACCTAATATTTCTAAGACTCAATATTGCCACGAGACCGATATCAATCAAGTACTGTGAAGTGAAGTTGTAAAGCACTTTGAAGATTAAAGAGGACGTGAAACTGGCGAGGTGGAAACGGATAGAGTCGGCGTATCTTTCAAGTATTCAACGCGAGAGGTTTTTATTTTTTAGATTTCTTCCTTTTTTAAAGAATATTTCCTTTTTGCGGGTTCGCAAATCTTGAGAATTTCTCTGGCTTTTTAGGTTTTTCATTTCCCTGTGGTTATCTAAAATTTCAAAGGTCAAGAAGCCATATTTCTCCCAGCAATGAGTATGCGTTTTACGTCTATAGGAAGGTTGAGCCGCAAATTTCGGGAAAAGAAAAATTTGGGGAGTGGAAATTTGGGAAATTTGGGGATTTTAAAAACTGTATCTTTCTTTTGTAAGGCGTTTGCGCTTGAATGATCGTCAAAAATACTTTCTTAGTTCGGTTTCCAAAATTCTCAAAAATTGTTTCCATTTTTTTTAAATTTTTTCTTAAAATTAACTTTTTATATTGCCAGGAGACTCAATATTGCCACTAGACCGATAGCAAACACGTACTGTGAAAGAAAGTTGTAAAGCACTTTGCAGAGAAGTTAAAGAGGACGTGCAGCCGGCGAGGTGGGAACGGATAGAGTCCTCGTATCTTTCAAGTATTCATTTATCAGGTTTGTTACACCTATTTTTTATTTATTTTTGTTTTTTTTGCTCCCGGATAGTGGAGGGGGTTGCTTTATTTCTGCCTATTTGTTTTTTTTTGGCCTGATTTTTTGGCTTTACGACCTGCGTCCTTGCAAGTTTACGACCTGAATTCCCAATGGTCGCAAATTTGAACGGTCATAAATCGGTCCAAAGTCATTTTAAAAAAAAACTATCACGCACAATACAAAGTTGGGGGTCCTCTATCGAATGGTACCAAAAAAATTTTACCTTTGCACTCATAGTTAGCGATGGCTCTTTGTCATATTAATTTCCCTTTTTTACTGCCACTTTATTTTTTTACCAAAAAAATATTTTTTTAGTTTTTAAGATGACATTGCTGCAAGACCGATAGCAAACAAGTACTGTGAAGAAAAGTTGCAAATCTCTTTTAAGAGATAAAAGAGGACGTGAAACCGCAGAGGTGGAAACATTTAGAGTCGGCGTATCTTTCAAGTATTCAACGCGAGAGGTTTTTTATTTTTTTAAATTGCTTCCTTAAAGATTTTTTCCTTTTTGCATGTCCGCAAATCTTGCGAATTTTTCTGGATTTTAGTTCTTTTTATTTCCCCCCGGTTATCTAACATTTAAAAGGTCACGAAACCAGATTTCTTCTAGCAAAGAGTATGCGTTTTGCATTTATAGGAAGGTTGAGCCGGAAATCTCGGGAAAAAAATGCCCAATTTTTTTTA